AATCCAATTCTAGTTGTTAATGAAATCTGATAGCCACGTCTCTATCGAGACTAAACTGTAAAAATTTCGTTAGTAAAGTAACGTGAAATGTTTACTAACATTTGGACATTTCTATTATTGCTTTAAAGCCAAGTAAAAAAAAATGTAGAGTGGATAAGTAAGAAAAGTATTTGATCAAATAACTGTACAATTCACATACAAATAAGTAAGTTATGTTCGAATAAGTCTTATCAGAAATCACGTGAATAGTCACGTATTTTAATCATCTCAGTACAAATAGAGAGTGTGAGTGACATGCTAAACTCTATGAGTTATTAGTATCGTCTGACTTGGCAAGATTATTGCCGGGAATAATGTTTGCAAACGTTCCAACCTGGCCTACAATGATACCGAAACACTAAGTCTGTTAAGTACATGTACTCACCCGGAAGTCTATTTAACTGAATTTAGTTAAGGTAAGCATTTATCTATTAAATGCACGTTTGTAAGACTAAACTTAGTTTGAGTTAATTATTTTATTAATCTCAATGCTTAATTGTTTTTAATTAGTAAAGAAAAACTATTATTTTATTTTAAATTCTAGATATTTAAAAGGCTATGTTTTATAATAATTATACATATAAAATATAAATTTTTCAAATGCATTAATTTGTATTTGGTTTAAGTCGACTAAAGGAAAATAGTTAAGCAAAGTTTTCAACTAAAACTTTCCATTTAGTTTATTTAAATCGTAATTTCTAATTATATTAAACTATATATGCGTACTCTACCAATGAAATAAAACATGCCATAAAATTAGATGAAAAACTAATTTGACATCTTGATAGAAACCGTATCAGATCGAAGCATACGCAGTAATGTAACAAGATATGTGTTTCGGTGCGCGGTACCCGGCCGCGGCGGCAATGCACATGAAACGAGAAAACGTGGCAAAATTGACCACAATGCGCACTACAAAGATTAAATTGAAGCGGGCAAGTTGCCAGATACACCGGTACCGAAATTAGAAAATATTATATGCTGATTTTATAACTTGAGTAAATACTTATACTCTTTTCAAGGCAACCTTAAATTGCTCACTTCGTATTTTGAAATGAGAACATTCAATTACATTTCTATTTCATGTACTACAAAGAGAGTTAGTTTTTAGAGTTTTGATAGCTTTATGTTTATCATAGTATTTGGGAATTAAAAGCCTATGATTGGTTAACAGAAACATTACGAATGCGATAGCATTTTTAGTTTTTTAACGCTGATATTAATTTTTTAAGTAAATTTTACAGTATGAAGAATAAGGAAGTATTTTTGTTATAATTTTTTTATCATAAAATTCTGTCCAGCTATGCTACTTGTGACTCGGTAAAAATTTGGGGCTTTTAACATTTTATGGGCGGCTCAAGAGAGGGAATTCAATGGATATCTGTGAACAAACAGTGGCCCCGAGGAGAGGAAGGCCCCATAAAAATTCGCGACGCCGTCATTAGTCTCAGACGTGTTTTGATCAGGAAGTCGCGCTCTGCGAACGCGCTCTCAGCCCCTTTTTATCTTCGAGCCGCTATTTTAAATGAGGCCTTTTGCAAAAGTCCGACTAAGACGACTCGATTTTTAAATCCCTAAGCTATAAGAAGTAGCTTAACGTGTCGCTTAATGACTTGACATCGATATTTAAGACGAGTTTTTAATACGGTTGATATTTTTTTAATCTTTAACAGAATTTTATTATAGGTATATTATTATTCATAAGAAACGTATTAAATCTTAAGATACAGTCAAAGTACATTATTTGTACTTGTACCTTGTTAGCTGTTTGTACTTGTAGGTAGAATTAATTTCTTTACTTTCTGCTTTTGAAAATTCTGTGTACGAATTACATAATATATAATACTAGCGGACCCGACAGACGTTGTCCTGCCTACACGTCTTTAATTTGAATAAATTAATATGAAGTTAATATTTGATGAAAATTGTGAATCTAAACCATTCCCAGATCCCTTTGAACACACACAAAAAATTTCATCAAAATCGGTCCAGTCGTTTGAGAGAAGTTTAGTGACATACACACTCACAGAAGAATTATATATATAAAGATTGGTCGCGTATTACACACTTTGGATAATTGTCTGAATCTGAATTTAAACAAAATGTATATAAATATTATCAAGTATGTAAATCAATACATAAAACCGTAATACATACAACTCGTGCTTTTTATCTCAACCTCGTTTTATACTGCAGGCAACTGACGCATATTCAGACTTAGCGCAACTTATTCCGTAAAAAATTAAATGTATCTTGCACACAATTATAATATATTTTTATGATGATACATGCTCCGAATGTTATTAATCTAATTATAATAATTTCAAACCATCATTTCTTTATGTATGACTACAGTAGTACAAATGTTTTTGACTTTGACGTCAAGTTTCGAAAGTGTCAACATTTTATACAAAAAATTAAAGAAATGTAGCCATAGTATGTTTCTTAAACTACATCATATGTATAATCCAAAGTGATCATGGACAATTTTATTTCTTATTAATACGGTTATTTTGCAGATTATTCGGACTCTATTTGTAATAGAAATTAAATAAAGTAATAGTAAAATGAATGCTAAATTGACTAGCATTATACAGTCTGGCAAAACATATACTACAGGGAACTAGGGACAGACTAAACAAGCGGACGTGAACGTTGCTTTGCCTAAGCTATTCACGGACGAATCGAAAATAGTTTGAAAAAGCTGAATTGCATAATCGTCGAGAATAGTAGCAGACAGGACGAACACGCTTTATTTCATGTTACATGTGTATATACGAAATATGGTGGTTATATTCTATATTCAGATTATTTACGATCCTGTAAACGAACAAATCGTTCATAAAACATTTCAAATTGGACAACAGAGTCAAAAAAAGTGGTACATTACGACAAACATTTAAAATATTTGAGCATGAATCGACTGACAAAAATAATGATCGTTTTCTCAGCTCTTTGCATAAAAACACAAGAAAAATTGACACGACAAATCTTGCTCCACTGCTGATTGCAAATTGGCGTAATTTAAATATCATCAGCTCACTATACGTCCCCACTGAGGAGTTCGGGGCCTACCCTATATTACGGGTGACTAGGCTATAGTCAACCACCCTGGCCCAGTGCGGGTTGGTTGACTTCACACATATCTTCGAATTTCTTTCTAATATTTTATGTAACTTTTATTCTAGTATCATGTATACAATTGTTAAATAGCTAAACGAATGTTCGTACGTATTTAAATTTCTGTATGAACTGTTATAAAATACTTGTACTTTTGTTTTTTAAGTAAGAACATTTTCACTTTAATAAAAACACTCGCTTTAAATTCAGTTAAGAAAATGGTAGGTTTTATTTTTATTCACTAATTGTATTTTAAACCTATTTTATTTCCTGAAGTACAAACGTTCATGAAGTGGAAATTTTAGCTCTTAATTAGTTTGTATCTTTTTAAAATTAATTGGTCATTTTGTCTGTTCTTTCATTCTCCTTTTGATCGTGTTATTAGGTGTACAATTTTAAACATTAAAACTGCTATTACTGAGTTATAAAGGTACATTAAAGTATAAATAAAAAGCTATAGGTAGGACTATAAATTAGGTAACAAAAATCTTTTTTTTTCTTAATCTTGTAGTTGAATTTCTATTTAATATTTTATAATACAGGTAGTTGTAGAAGAGACTAGGGGAGGCCTATGTCGAGGGACAACAATCCATACATATAACATACGTCAATTATGTATTATATTATTAGAAAATTAGTTTGTCAATATTGTAATTTTAAGTTTATTATTGTCAGTGAATAAAAGCTTTCTCTATCTATCTATTTATATAATACAGGTAGTTGTAAGGAAAGTGTTGTAAATGTTGTTTGATATAATTAACTTTTGAACTTTATGAAAACCTTCAGGAACGAAAGTCTTAAAAGCGCAACCTTTAATGTGTCTTCGAGCAAAAAGTTGTGGGCAGTAAGAACAGTGATGTTTTCAAAGAGAAATTCATAATAACGTTGCCTTCTAAATAAAGTACAAGTAGATTTTTACACAAACATACGGCTTTTATTAGCGCAGAAACTATTTTTCCTATATTATAGTTATCTCGTTTTAGTCATAACGTAGAAAAGGGACGACATGACTTTTATTATTGTCATAAATTAGATCTTACTAATGTATTATTAATTGCATTTTGCAAGTAAAGTTACAAACATGTCTAATAAGTTGTCTAAAAAGTCACAAAATTTTAATCGAAAACCAATGAAAACATTTTAATGCAATTTTCGTAGTTTCTTGTAATAAGTTAGAATCTCCAGGGCAAATAATGATTACTCTCTCAGTATGCCCCTGGCGTATAGCCATTGTTCCATTCAATCCAATATCGTTAACATTATAAGCAAAATGATTATATAGATTCTTGTTTAATAATCTACTGAGAGTAATGCATTGTTTAATGCTATTAATATAATTGATAGCATTTAAAAGTTTTTAATACTAAACACGTTAAGTAATAAACCTAAGAAAAATCAGAAGGAACATTTAAAAGGGTCGGTATAAGTTCTACAAAAAGGTCTGATGTATAATCTGAAATCGCTTAAAAGATTTAAATAAAGATCTGTTTAAAATTATTTTTGGATTAAACATTTGTAAGAGTATTCACAATGTTCTTATGATAACTAAGTGGCGGTGGCGCAGTTGTTTGAAACCATTGAGGTTCGATCTTCGCCATGTTTTTGATTTTTTTATATCATATGCTATAAATATCATATGCTATACATGTGTCTGTGTTAATCTGATGTCTTTATGGTGAAGAAAAACATCGTGACAAAAATTTAAAGATATGCGCGAAACCAACCAACCCGCACTGGCCTAGTCCATTCTAACTTGGGTAGGCTCTAAACTTAGAGGTGAGAACATATGAGTTAGCGATTATAATAACCTTTACTGAATTTTTATGTAATTGTATACTTACTGAGTCGTGACAACTTAAAGGCGTCGGCTGTGTTTATAACATCGACGTAAAGTTGAAACTCCCAGCGAGTTTTGTTGGCATTAGAGAACTGAATAACGGCGAGCTTGAAGGCATCTTGTATCTCGTCCGTGCTTTTATCGAAGACCGCGCCTGCGAACATAAAAAACAACGTTTATTAGAAAATGTAACAAAAAACTGTGTCGAAAAACCAGTAAACAGTTTTACGACGACAAAACCAAGAAATAATTTATGAAATTCACCACTCAATGTTACAACCTATTTCAAGTCGATAAAAGGGATGCTCGTAAACATTTCAGATATAAGAACGAAAGGTTTGACCCAATAAACAACTTATCGTGCACGCACAAAAATAGTTTAAAATAACTGCGTCAAATATACTGACTAAATTTAATTCCATTTAAACCTTACCAATAGGTATAGGTGATCACATTACTTAACCCTGTTAATTTCCAAATCTTTTTATTATAGTACTACTTTTGCCCGCGACTAAGTGCGCACGGAATTAAAAAAAAACTTAATTAGTAGCCTATGTGTTCTTCCAGGCTATGTTCTACATTTATACTACAGATTTCATCAAGATCCGTTGAGCCGTTCCGGAGATATCTTCTAGCAAACGTCCATCCATCTATCTAAGCTTTTGCATTTATAATATTAGTAAGATTAGACATCTATTAAGCTAGTGTGTACCATCTTTCGGCTGTTACATAATGTCGGGGTTTTGATCAAGCTACGGTTTATTAATTGATAAAAAGTAATTAATCAATAAACTAACAATTTTATGTTTTCAATGAATATTGGCCGGCCATAGTTTTGTGAATGTGAGGAGAGCGTGCGTGAGGCATATAGAATTTATTATTTTGCGAGCATACACGCTGGTCGTATTCCGCTATGGAATTTATAGCTTTAGTCTGGTTGGAGAAAAATATGGATTTATTGCTACGGTTTTGCAACAGATCGTTATTGCTTTTAGAGTACACAATAGTGTTTAGTGATTTCTTTCTATTGTTTTTTTTATATATAATAAAGACAGTTTTAAGCTACAGTTATTTAGTTTATATTTCTTTTAATATATTCGGAATTTTTATATTTAACTTCACTAATATTAATAAAAGAATAAATGTGTTGTATGACCGCTTGAGACCATCGGTGGCTTAGGGGTTTAAGCACTTGACTTGCAATCTGCAGGTTCTGGGTTTGAATCTCGCCATGTACCAATGTGTTTTTCGATTTCCAATTTAATGTGGTGATGGAAAACATCGTGATACAACCTGCACATATCTAAGAAGAAATTCAAAGATATGTGTGAAGTCAACCAACCCGCACTTGGCCAGCGTGGTTGACTATGACCTAATTACCCCTAACTTAGGGTAGGCTTCGAGCCCCTCGGTGGGGATGTATAGTGAGCTGATGATGATGATGACCGCTTGGAAATCTTTCATAACCTTTTCCAAATCGGTTTTTTTAATAATAATTAAACAATTAGATAAGCAAATGACAAAAATGTTTTTTTGTATTTTAGTGATTTTGATTCTTGATATTGAGTACAGTAAAATGTTTCAGGAAACTGTGAATAAGAAAATACTGTAACGCTTTTGATACGAACCAGATTTTTTTCGGTATTTGCTTGAGAAAGCCCGAATGTCTAGTGGCATTTATTTCGACTTTTATTTGAAGCTGAAAATGGCGCCGTGAGAAAAATATGCCTCGGCTTATTTTTATTGTAACATAGAAGCGTGAGGACGGAAAAGTTTTTTTTACTTTATATAAAAATAACAGTGGATAGATACGATGTGTTTTAGATACGTGATTTTTATTTCTAATTTTAAGAATGTTAGAAACAGAAAACATAATTTTCATCGTTAAGTGATAATGTTTATTATCACTTTAAAAAAAAAAGTGAGGGTAATATTAAAAATGCCCTGTCTTACATATTTAACCAAATAAGAAAACTAACAAATTAAATTATCTGTATAAACTAACGAAGTTCACATACAAATTATATTAGTATCAACTGCTTTATATTATTAAAAAACATACTTTACTTTGAATAACTACTTATGTACATATCGAAATTCACTTGGTAAGTTACTTTGATCTTCTACTATAAAGCAAACATGTAGTAATTGATGTCCCGCATACAGTTGACACTACACCTTGTCGTGGACATCTTGAACTAAGTTTGACCGAACAGCGCTACTAATAGAGTACATACTTAAGATGTCTATCTGTTCCACTCATGTAATATTATTGCATCTTATAGTACACAATGTATTATGTAGATTTACTAATGGAATTAGTGAATTACAATTATTTCTCTTTTATGACGTGTTTTTTTTTTTCAAAAATAAAAGTAATACAAACACAAATATGTAATTATACTGCATTTGTGATGACCGAATTCTTATGAAAAAATCAATTTCGGTTTATTGACCACTGTTCATGTGGGTTTCGAATCCCGTGAATGACACTCGTAGTGATCTGCTGTCTCTGTTTATTTCAAAGAGAATATGAGGGATGGCAATACGTTCCAATATTCACTGCATTTGAAAATCACAGTAATACTCGCTATATTTTCCAATAGAAATTTTCCCCGAAATGATTTTAACGATGGTTAAAATCTTACTGATCTTACTTCTTACTCTTACTAATATTTTAAGTGCGAATCGTTATATGGATGGATTGATGTTTATTTGAAGGTATCTCCAGGGATGTATGGATCTCGCTGAAATTTGGCATAGATGTAGAACATAGTCTGGAAGAACATATAGGGCAATTAAAGGTATTTTTTCCGCGCAACGGAGTTGCGGACTACAGCTAGTTATTAATAAAATATAATACCTAATATCACATTATGATTTATACATAAATGTTTTGGTAAAGTAAATATCTCAGTCAATTTGTTTTATTGCGCAAATGAACCACAAAATAATAATAGCATATAATAAATCGTTTGTTCATTAATAAGGGTAACTAAGATAAACTGTTGCCCCGACAGGCGTTAATATCAATAGAATTATTGGTATCGTTTTGTTAAGTCCAATATTAAATGGCAGTATTACGTTCCGTGGCCTCGATCCCTTTTTCCTTAATATCATTTTTGTTTACTCTTATCTAAAAGATTGTTGATTTTCTTAGGCCTAGCTAACGACGTTGGTTTCTGACTCCAATATCCCCCTATTAAAATATACTGTTACTATTTTGTTAAAGATGAAAGACAAGGATGATGTGTTTTATACATAGGTTTTGGCGTCAGAAACCCACGGTAAAATTTTATTTCGTGTTTTATACATAAATAAAAATGCTTGATGCCCTATGCGTTCCTAAAACCATTGAACAGATTTTGACAAGATTTATTTATTATTTTACTACGACCACAGAGAAGGTTTGAAGATAGAAATTTTAGAGAATTTTGAAAAACCTTTTCTATGATACCTAGACGTTTAATTTGTTTTTAATGGAAGTTTTTGCACGCAGAGTTGGAATGATTTTAATTTTTTTGACATTGGCGTTACGAAGTATACTAGATTCAGCTAAAATGACGTATATTATGATATAAATTATATGACTTAACAAAAAATCAAAATGGCGTAAGCTTAAATCCAGCACTTTATAGAAAGTGTTGACATGAGATTTTGCCGTTGGTAATGGAGTTTACATGTCTTCCATTTTACGTCTTTTTTTCTTCAGGTTTCTATTCAACGTGCTTTGGCAACTAAAAAAGACGAATTTTAAATTTCGATTTAGAATTGCTAGGAAAGTATGAAACAAGTATATAGTATGGATAAAGGAGAGTTATATTTCTATTTGTTTGCAGTATGGAAGCTATTTTGTGAACAAATGAAATAATTGTTTCATTTGTTAGTACGATTGCGACCTCTATGGTCGCTTACAAAAGCTGCGATAACAATATCGGCGATAGTTTAAATAATCCTCTTACACATAAATTGAACGGCCGTTCCAGTGAAAATAGCTTATTAATTCAATTATGGCCGTGTACAATAATTTCGGAAACGATGCAATATTTTGACTTAAATTTAGTTACTGCATATATCATTTGGTGACAATAAGTATTGTGATGTGATATATACAGTATAACTTAAAAATCAAATAATTATTTTTAAATAAATCGAAAAAAATCATAAAAACAATGGATAATCATGAGTGAGAAAATATAAGCTATCTTATAAAAGAAAAAAAAATGTCAATAAGATTTTTTGTAATCTTAAGCGATAATTAATTGATTAGACCATCAGTGACTCAGAGGTTAAGCACTTGACTTGCAATCTGCAGGGCCTGGATTCGAATCACACTATGTACCAATGTATTTTTCAATTTCCGATTTGCATATGTATATTACTCCGACGTTCTTAGGTTGAAGGAAAATATCGTAATGCAACCTCAACATATATCAGCAAAAAAAATTAAAGCTATGTGTGAAGTCACCCACTGGGCCAGCGTGATTGACTATAGCCTAGTCACCCCTCACTTAGGGAAGGCTACAAGCCCCAAGTGAGGACGTACAGTGAACTGATGATGATTAATCAAAAATTATTTAACAGTATTAATAGTTACTACCATATATGCTTACATAGTAACCCAATAAATGTACTACATAGTAACCAAATGCTCGGGCGTGTAAGACAATAATTTATTTATGTAAGAGGGTAATGAAGTCATTTTTGCGACTAAAAACCTTCCTTGATTGTGGGCGTAAAAGGTTACTTTGGTTTGTATATCAAATATGAACACCTACTCAATCTTACGTAGTACTAAGTATCTATAATTAGATCCGTATGCTCCGTTACTAGGGTTACATATAATAATAAGGAAAAAATAACTCGTATTACTCTGCGTTTAGTTTTAGTTATTTGAAATGCGCAGTGAAGTTAATTTTAACGGTTGTTTTATAAAGGTTTAGATTTATTTCATAGGTTATCGTTAATCAAAAAGGCCTTTTATACACAAGGCAAGGTAAATATTCGGAACTAATATTGTAGGCTTGCGTCGCGAGTATCGAAGGTTTATGATGCCTTGTGTATGAAGGGCTGAAGTGCCTTAAATACAAAATGTTGGTGACGCGTGCCGTTGTTTGAACCTCTATGATATTGTATTGCATAAGTCGCGGTTTCCAAATTTACCTTATCTTGTGTACGATGGATTTAAGTCAACTTTATTAGTCGTTGCTAATAACTTAGCCTCGATTGCTTCAAGATCGTTATGCAAATATTGCTTAAGGAATTAATGTGCTAAACAAGCCAAGGCTTAACTGACCTTAGGGAGATAGATAAAATAAAAAAATGTAAATACAGCCATAGTTATTTGGTGACAGAGAGCTTTTATTCGTAAAAGATCTTTTCAATCAGATGCAATAGTTTTCATTTTATCTGGAACAAGAAAATGTTTCTCTACATATATCGAGTAGAA